TCCCTCCCTTCTGGCAGTGTTTGTCTATGTTAGCGTAGGCTAACCTAGAATTCATGTCCTTGCCTCTGCCTCCCAAGTGCTGGGGCTTCAAACTCGGACTACTAGGCTCATTTCTGAACCTTTAATGAAACCCTGTTATCACAACAACCTGTTGTCCAAAGGATAAAATATCAACCTGTTAGCATGGCCATTTGCTGCTCTTCACTGCCTCACTATAGTTAAAAACAGTCATATCTTCTGTAGTTTTCCACCATGCACATGTAGAAAACTATGTTGCCAGCTATGCCAGTAATTTCCTGTTATTCTTTCTTGAATGCCATGTGTTTTCATGTTTTGTTGTTTTGCAGAGGTTCTCTGTGGGTCCCACCTTCTCATCTTCTCTGCTTGGTAAGCACCTGAGCACCTGGCCATTGCTCAAATCTAGACATGTTACATATGGTGAAGCCCTCTGAAATTCAGAGGTATTTGATCCCATCTCGGCATTATCCAGCAGTCTGCGCATACTCTGAAGTGTGTTTTCTTGTTTGCATAGATTTCCCAGCTTACCCTTGAGGAAGGATTGTGCGATACATCTCTGACCTATTCAACTGTAAATGTTTTGAGGTTAGGCACTGTGCCCATCTTAACAGTCTATATCCTTAGCCCAGCACAGAAACTGACACTGAACAAATGTTTATTAAATCAGGAAATGGATGATTTATTACTTTCACCCAAAAACTGTCTGCAACTTGAGAGACTAGGTAAATTCATTTTTACCATCGCCATTTATTCCTTTTTAGTTTCCCTTAAACAAAGCAACTTTGAAGAATTATAATAATTAACCATTTACACCATACTACCTCCCACTTCTGTAATGACTTTCAGGTTCTGCTGTTCTGCTTTGGGACAGCCAGCAGACGTGGTTTCTAAAGCCAGTTTTTCAGGCCATTATTAACCAACAGTCCAGTCTTCAGTAAATTGAAACCTCAGATTGTAACTAGTTTTATTGAGGTGGAGGGTTTCTTTCCTTTTTTTTTTTTTTTTTTAAACATTTATTTATTAATTTAATCTCTTTACAGCCTGATCCCAGCCCTCTCCCTTCTCTCCTCCAGGTCGTGCCCTCACTACCCCCTCTTCCCATTCCCCTTTCTTTCTCAGAAAAGAGGAATCCCCTAAAGGATATCAACCCACCCAGGCACCTCAAGTCACAGCAGGACTAAGTACATCTTCTCGCACTGGGACCTGACAAGGCAGCCCAGCTAGGGGGAAGGGATCCAGTCGCAGGCAACAGAGTTGTCATTGTTAGGGGACCCACATGTTGTCCAAGCTGCACATCTGCTAAATATGTGAAGGGGATCTAGGCCCAGTCCATGCATGCTCTTTGGTTGGTGATTCAGTCTCTGTGAGCTCCCATGGACCCAAGCGAGGGTCTTCTTGTGGTGTCCTTGACCCCTCCAGCTCTATCCTTCCTCCCACTGTTCCACAAACTCCCTGAGTTTAGCCTAATTTTTGGCTGTGGGTCTCTACATTTCTTTCCATCAGCTGCTGGATGAAGCCTCTCAGAAGACAGTTATGCTAGGTTCTTGTCTGTAAGCATAGCAGAGTGTCATTAATAGTGTCAGGGGTTGCTTCTCTGCCATGGCGGGGTGGGTCTCAAGTTGGGCCAGTCATTGGTTTGCCATTCCCTCAATCTCTGCTCCATCTTTATTTCTACACGTCTTGTAGGCAGGACACATTTGGGATCTAAGATTTTATGGGTAGTGTCCCCCTACCTCCACTGGAAGTCAAGGTGGAGGTTTTCTTTGACAGGCATTTCAGAACTGTTGCTTTCATTGAGTGGCATAGATTTGTATGAATACACAAACACACTGTTAAGGATTTTGCAAGACAAAATACACCGTACACATCAATTCTTTGTAAGAAATCTGATCCAATTTCTTATCATACGTGCATAATCTCTCCACTTACAAGACATACTGAGCATGCCAGGTGCTATTACATATTTCATATAAGTAACTTGTAGTTCTTATAGCCATTTTGCAGAATAGGTGTTGTTATCTAGGTTTTGTAGACATGGGAACTGAAGTTGAGTTGTGTCTGAGCCCGAATTGTCACTGACTCCAAGCAGTGGCTTATTTATTTATTTATTTATTTGTTTGTTTGTTTGTTTGTTTATTTATTTATTTTAGTGTACCACTCTGTCTCTCAATGAAAAATCCTATTATTATATTTCTCCCAGTATCCTGATTTCCTACCCATTCGATCACATCTCTTGAGACACGGTTCTATCGTCTGTTTTATAAGACGGAAATGAGAGGAGGGGAATTGATTTTTATGATGATGCTTGTGTATATACTGACATTGGGGTTCTTTGGCCTCTGATAGTGAGCAGCATTCCCGGTGTTTTGTCCCTTTGATAAAGTCAAGGAAGACATTCATTAGTATATCTCACAGGGTCTAAACAGTTAATTCACTGTTCAGAAAGTCACATGAGTGAACAGTGAAACTCAGCAGTTGGAACTGATGCTTGATAGCTAAAAAGGTCATTAACATTGAGCTTCTTTGTCACAAATGCCTGATACTGAACAATAGTAATTAGAGGGCTGCCAATCAGAAACTAGGATATTTTCCTTCAGTGGCTGACTGGGTGGTTCCTCCCTTCCTCATGTCTCTAAACACCAGTCACATCCCTCAGGGTTTGAGAAGGTGCTGTATGGGGTTGTCTGATAACATCAGGAAGGTGAGGCAGAAGTGGAGAAGTGCTCTTACTGAGGAAAAGGAATACCTGAGTTGTAATATCCCTCTTTGTCACTCTCAAGCAGCAGGAAGCAAAGAACATCCAGGTCACCTACAGAAGCAATTAAAAATGGTTCCAATGATGATAGGCATGTCCTAGCTGCCATCCTGGCCCCTGTATGGTCCCTGTATGACAGGGATGCATGGCCTGAATCCACAGGTCGGAATTTAGACAAAGCAAAGACTGAGGACTGGCCCTGCTCCCAGGTACTTGTTGACACATGGTGGCGGCATAGCCTTACAGCCTCGGCACACTTACAGTCTTACAGTAAGCGCTTAGGAGCACTAGTCCTACAATTCCAGCACTCAGCAGATACGGCTATCCAAGAGATGACAGCATACCACTAGAAAAGCATGCAAAACAAGCAGTAGTGAGCCTTCTTCCTTGACTCTTCGAGATGGAACGACAGCTGTCCTGCACTGCTGAAGTCTAGCCAGCACCACAGAAGTTCTGGAAATGGGCTGTTTCATTTCTCTATTGACATTTACTAAGTGACCTCAGCTGACCTGCAGCTTCCTTGGTTCATTTGTATTCTAGCCTGATCCTTCTTTTAGTCCCCTAGAATCCAGTATCTATCTTTCTGAGGATGTCAACTCACTCCTCTAGTGTATCTTCTGTTTAATCAGGGGTGTTTAACCACTTGGGATTGGAGTGCCCCAGGCAATGAGAGCTTAAAGGCATGCTACCCATTTTGATCATTTCTACCTCAATGAATGGTAAGAAAGGCACAGTATGTGGTGTTTATTTATTGTGATGGTGTGTGTGTGTGTGTGTGCATTTGCCTGTGCATGGACATATGATGGCCAGAGTAGGACCCCAAGTGTATTCCTCTGTCATTCTACATTATTGTCTTAAGACAGGGTCTTTTACTGAACTACAAATACTCGGTTTTGGGTAGGGTAGGTTGGCTGGTCAGCCAGTGAGGCTCCCAGGATCTGCCTGTCTTCATCTCCTAGTGCTGAGGTTATAGGCACAGGAAGCCTGGCTTTTCATGTGGTTGCTGGAGATTCAAACTCAGGTCCTCGTGCTTGCACTCAAGTGCTCTTACTGAGCATCTCCCTAGATCCTGCTCTTAAGGATTTGACTCAGCCATATTATAAGATACTCGTGGTAGTCCAGCATTTTACAGGGCCCGGTATTTGTACCTCCTGTCTATTGCCTTTCTTCTTCCTCTAACCCTTTACCCCTGGCCTTAATTTGTTGCCTGCATTTCTGGCACTAGATCCATACTCCCAACTGCTGGTATTATCCAGGGGTTTTACAACTCTGCTTTCCCTCTTTCTGTTTGATACCAGGGCTAACTAGCCAAGGCCATTATCCCAAGTCCTCAACTGTTTGGTGGAGCTGTTGCTGCACCTCCCTGACCTTGCTCAGAGGACTGGACACTCCTAGGAATTAGGGGTGGGTGGGGTTAGGGCTGAAATCCATTTGCACAGACACATTCCTATTTTATGTTCTATTAACAAGTTTACTTTTTAGGCGAATACGTTCCTTTCCACCCTCGGTATTTCACCCTTGGTTTCCTATACAAGAATCTCGTCATAGCTCCTTTTTATAGGTGGAAATATACCCTGAAATTCGAGGCAGTCATTTTTAAGAGCACTGTAAGACCCTTGTAGCTCTTCACTGCCACCTGGCTGCTTGCCTGGAAAGGGGAAATTGGAGTGCTGGCAACATTGTTACTGCAGGCAGAATGGCGTTGTTATTAGAGGTTCGCGAAGGCTCCTCGCCAAGACCTGTAGGACCTGAGGTGGGATGGAGGATACTTTTCTACCCTGAGAGACACTTCCAGGAGAGCGCCCGCACACTGCTCACTTGCGGCAGTGTGGCGGTCCCACTGCGCTCGCTTACAGAGCACCTGATCTGCGCTGTGTCAGGGCACAGCACCACTTAGCACAGGTAGCTCTGTGGGAGACAGGACGTCACACCGAGTTGAAGACTTATAGGACTGCTGTTTTCAGTTCCCCATCCCTCGTGAAAACGGAAAAGCGCAGACCAGAAAGAGGAGCCGGAGGAAACTCCCGACTGCTAGTCTCTGACAAAGAGAGAAACTTCGAGAAAACAGATGGTAGCACTCAGAAAACAGTTGCCAGTGAGCGCAGACGATAGCCTGGGTTTGCACTCAGCTTGACCTGGAGGGCAGGGCGGTCATGTTCAAGGGGCGGGGGCTCTGGCCATGGGCCTGTCTGGGGCGGGCCAGCCGGCGGGGCATTTAAACCGCAGCCAACGCTGGCGGGGACGCGCGCAGGCTCTGCGCTCTCGATTTTCCCAGTTTTCGGGTACCGGCTTCGCAAGATGCGGTCTTCCCTGGCTCCGGGTATCTGGTTCCTCCGTGCCTTCTCCAGGGACAGCTGGTGAGCAGGGCTGGAGAGGGAGGCTGCCGAGACAGTCAGAGACTTGCTTAGGCGGCGGATGTCTCTGCCAGTCCCTGGGGTGGGGGAGGGGGCCCTAGCTCTATCTGGCGGCGCAGGCGTGGAAGGTTAGTAACGCAGACCTATTAATTTCACATTAGCCCAGACTTCTGTATGACCCTTGTGAAGAAGCCAGGAGTGTTCATCCTTTCCAGCTTGCCATTTTGCATCTGCAAACACAGGCGCACAGGCAGGCACCTGTAGAGTGCCTCCAAGTGTTATCTGAGCACTTAGGGGACCCGGACTTGCATGTAGGGAACAGAGGCCAAGGAGCAGTAGACTATAAAGGTAGGCAGGGAGCTTAGGCCCCTTTTAGGTTATATTTTATTGATTGGATTAGGTAGTAGAAGCCAGACGTCACTGGTTCTGGGAGCCTGCCTGGGGGGTACCGTACGTTCCAGCCTCAGGGATATCTAGCTAGGGGAGGTCTCTGGGATCCGAGCTGCCGCCGCCCAGCACTGGGGGGTCGCCCTTAAAAGCATGAGCTGGCATGCAGCAGTTGTCTTCAGGGCCACCATGTCACCCATATGCTGGGAGGAAAGGTTTCAGCCACTCTCCATTAGAGCGTTTGCAGCTGTGTGCTTGGTCTGCGTGGAGATTTAAAATATTTTGTAGTTGCTCTCAGTTACAAACTATAAAACTTAACAAAATAGTCTGGTGCTGGCTTCTCTTGAAAAACAGACGGCACAGCATTGCCAAACCTAAATTCTCAAACTAAACTAAGGGTCACCTTTGGATTGGGCAGATACTTAAAGAGAGTGATCAGTCTGGCCTGGTTTTAAAAAAGTTTTTTGTTTCCAGTCCTGTCAATCAGGCTAATCATTGTACGCGAAATCCTTTATGTGGTCCTTTTTAAATTCGCAACTATTGAACAGTCTTGTGTTTTCAGAAAGATATGACTCTTATAAGGATTTGAACATGAGCGTATTAGAGAGTGTATCACCTTCATAATGAAAGAGCTAGAAGATGTCATGATTGGGTAGAAAGAGAATTTAGAGGAGAGCGGAGAGTTAGCAGACGTGGGTGGCAGCAATGGTTGCATAATATACTTGCTGCCCCTGACTTAATTTTTCCGACACAGGGTTTCTCTGTGTATCCCTGGCTGTCCTGGACTTTGTAGACCAGGCTGGCCTCGAACTCAGAGAGATCTGCCTGGCTCTCTGACTTTAAATTTAAAGGTGATTGAAATGATAAGGTTTATGCTGTGTATATTTTAACACCCTTTTTAAAACATAACACAAATAAACTCATTTATACATTAAGACTCTTGAGACTATCTCAGTAGTGGACATATTTTACATGACTTATCTGTTAGTTACCACTTCAGAGAATAAAATAGTTCAATGTCAAGAAAAACTAAAATCAGGATAAATGAGAGATTAAATTCAGACAACCTGAAGGTGTCCTCTTTTCACATCATTGTTTTCTTTATAGACTCGAGGTTTTTTTTTTTTTAATCTCCAAGAAAGGTTTTTGATCACACAATAAAGTGGGTCTCCTTAGATTTAATCTCATTGTTTACTTATGTACGATAAAAGCGTTAGTTAGCCAGGTGGGTCATGTTAAATTTGTGTTGCTGAAAGTTTTCATAAGGAATCTTTTTTTTAATTTAATTTTTAAGGTGTGTGTGTGTTTCCTTTGTGTGTGTGTGTGGGGGGGTGATACGTGTATGTCTCTGTGGAGGCTGGAGGTCAGCCTCAGGGTCCTTCTTCAGAAGCCACCACTCTTCTTCCTCACTGGGACCCACTACTTCCCAGTCAGCCCCCAGAGCTTTAGGTCTTGTCTCTGCCTTCTGAGGCCTGGGAGCACAGATGTAGCCACCGTCTTGCCAGACTGTTAATGTGGGTGCTAAGGATAAAGCTCAGCTTGTGCCTCAAGCACTCTGCTACCTGGGCCACTGCCCCAGTCTTTTATAAGTACCTCTGCGCTGTTTTATTAAAGTCATTTTACTATTTATTGCCTTGAGATAACATGCCAAGAAACTGTCTTAACCAGGTTTTACCTGCTGTATCTATAGATTTGGTCAAATTCCTCTTTCTTTAGGTTCTCTAAATATCCTAAGGCTTTTAGACCTCCAAAAAAAACTTTCTTCTATTTATAAGACTGGAAACTCAGAAAACTGCTTTTTCCTTGGAATATTCTATTCGCATTTACTCCATGCAGTGAGCATCAGTTCCTTGAAAGGGGCCAATATACTTGATATTAAATAGACGTTGTTGTCGAATACAATAATCAGGCAAGGCCTTGGTTACATAACCAGTTCTTCTAAACGTGCTCTTGTTAAAAGGAGAGAAGAGATTCTTATTGAAACTTTACAAATAACCATATTGCTCTGTAAAACAAGAGGACTCAAAAGTTTCTTCATTCTGTGGAGTTGAGTAGGAGGCTGCATTTCAGTTTATAAAAAAATGCAATGCCTATTAAGTTGTTATGTGTTACAGATCCCCTAGAGGAAAGGAAAAGGTCTTCCTTGTACTGGCATCCTGAAAATGGAGCCCTATCATAACATTTCAGTTATCAGTGACCGTCACTGGCAGTTTCCTTAATCCTGTATGATCAGTGCTGCTCCTCCACATCTTGGCTTAGTGATCCCTGGAACTCAGCTCCTCAGGAAGAACAGAAGTCTTCCTAACCATCTGTTGCTGTGGAACCTTCGGAAGAATAAGCGCTCAACTTATGAAAATGAACAAACATGATTTAGAGAGGAGAAACCTTTAGATACAACATACAAGAATTCTGAAATGGGCTGAAGAGATGGCTCTTTCATTAAGAGCACTGGCTACTGTTCCAGAGGACCCAGGATCTGTTCCCAGCACCCACATGGTGGCTCACAGCCATATGGCACTCCAGTTCCAGGGGCTCTGGCCTCCATGGGAACCAGGCATGCAAGTAGTACACAAACATGCATGCAGGTAAACTCTCACACACATTAAGTAAAAATAAATACGTCCTTAAAGAAATCTGGGACTCATTCACATAATATGCAAAGACTATAAACAACAACAAAAAACAAAAAACAAAACAAAAACAGAAGAGTAAGCTTGGGATAGGTCCCTAAGCATCTGGTTTGTAGGTAAAGATCAATAGCCTGGGAAGATGCTGTATTTCAAATTAAAGAAAGAGAGTTGCAGTCTATGTAACATTTTAGCTGGTAGCTGAAATCATGGCAGGCAACTCAGAGTGTTGCCATCAGATAACACAACATCAGGACCAGTGGAAATGTGTGGTGAAGCCTCTAATTCTCCCATACTCAGGAAGCTGAGGCAGGTGGGTTGGAAATTCAAGGCCAGTCTGGGCAAGTAGGGGACCCTATCTCAAAATAAAAATAGAAAATGGCTGAGCATGTTGCTTAGTGGTGGAGCAGTTGCCTAGAACACACAAGACCCAAGGCTCAGTCCCCAAATACCCCAGACAAAAACAAAATGGACGGAAAGCGCATCCAGAAATCTGTGCAACTTCTCTTACAAAAATTTCTAAACTATTGGTAAAATGATAGCATTTTATCTATTTGAGTTTGATTATTTCTTCTGATTTCCCAGTGATTCTAAGTATTGGTTTGCCAAGCCATACTAGTTTCAGCACTTCTTTTAAAAAGTGAAAGATCAAATTTAGGTGGTTTTCCAAGAACTCTGTTTTGTTTGTTTGTTTGGTTGGTTGGTGTTTTTTTTTTGTTTGTTTGTTTGTTTTTGGTTATTCCAACAAGGTTTCTTTGTGTAGCCTTGGTTGTCCTTTTGTAGACCAGGCTGGCTTCTAACTCACAGAGATCCACCTGCTTCTGCCTCCTGAGTGCTGGCATTGAAGGCGTCCACCACCATGCCCAGCGCAGGAATCCTAATTTTCGAAACCACGTGAGATGAGTCACCAAGCCTGAGCTTGCTTTGGAAAGATTTTCAACATACTCACTTGCTTCTTTTCAGACTTTCCACTTGAACCTATTACAGTCCAAGGAGCTCTCACTCTTATCCGTAAAACACACTTATAACCATGCATGGCAAATGTTCTACCATCAAGCTACATCCTCAGACCACAGTAGCACGTATCAGGGAGAATGAGGGGTGATAAGGGTGAATTGTCTCATGCCAGCGCCTCAGCACAGGAATGTACACAACACAGCCCTCTAAACCTATGTCGCTTGTGCACTCTTTTCCAAGTAAGGTCTCTAGCCCACACTGGCCTTTGAACTGCCGACGTAGGAAAGGGTGAGCTTGAATTTCTGATCCTACTGCCTTCCCTTACTTAGTGCTGGGATTATACGGGTAAGCCACCCTTTCTGGATTATGTGGTACTGGGGATGGAAGCCCAGGGCCTTGTGTGTGCCAGGCAAGCACACTACCAACGGAACTGCAGCTTCAGTCCTGCTTGCACACTTCTTAACTGCTCAGCTCTCCAAAGCTCAAGACATACAGGGCTAGGGATCCTTTTACCGCTCTGTGCTTTTGAGCTATGAACTCTCTGGAACCTCCGTTTTCTCATCAGTAGGTAGTTCTAGAATATATGTCTGATAGCTCATATAAAGACTCTTGGCTTCTGTGGCTGATGGAGGATCCACAAGAGATGTCTTCCATTTTCCTAAAGAGTGTGAATTCAGATGCTCTGCTGTCCCAAGAACCAACGTTTTGCTGAAAAGATGCTATACGGAACTCCCGGGCTCGCAGAGAAAATGAGGACATCACCCTGCCTTCTTGGAATTAGCAGCAGAGCTGGGGAAGTGCTGTGCACACAGCAGTCATCAATCTTATTTTTATTTTGTTTTACTTGTTTGCTTTTGCAGCGTTACGTGTAGACCCAGGATCTTGTGTAAGCCAGGCAAGTGCTCTGCTACTGAGCCACGTTCCAGCCCCCGAGTTAGCAATTTTAGAAGTAGTGCTGCATGTACTGAGTGTCAAAGGGTGATGATTCATATATTTAGTGGCAGTTGAATTGATCTTGAAGAAAACTGCCTC